ACACACACACACACACACACACACACACACACACAAACACACACATAAACACACACAGACACACACACACACACACAACAACACACAACACACAACACTTCAAAATCCTGGCTACGGGCATGCCTTTAGCAGCATCTACGGCAAAATAATCATAATGGTCTGAGTGAATTAATCGCAAAACAAGAATATGAATGTCGCACAAATATCACCTATAGCATTATTAGGAAAAACTAGCATCAACATTGGAATATACAAGTATTGCGGTGTACGATGTATGTTTAGATTCAACTAGTTTGTTGTTGCAAGAATCACAATCACACAGAATATATACAACATCAACAACTCTGGTGCCGTCAATTTTCACTTAAGGTCCTTCAAGTGCTCTCTAATAAAATGCAATTGTTAATATTGTAGTATTATATTTTAACTACATTAACGAATCAGTTACTCAGCGCAATGAGAATAGTTTTTTAGGAAAAAGGTTATTAAAGAACCGTCTGTAGCATATCAACTGATAGAACATGGATATTATGCCAACTTGCCACTCCAAGCAGCCGGTGAGTGCCAGACGGTGAGGTAGTGTGAATACGGAGCATTAAACGAATAACGATGTCTGTCACATCAGGACTAATATGACCAGCAGCTAGCTTCAGTGTACAGTACGAACACCTAGCTTCAGTGTACAGTGAACCAGTAACACCTAGCTTCAGTGAACAGTGAACCAGTAACACATAGTTTCAGTGCACAGTGAACCAGTAATACCTAGCTTCAGTGCACAGTGAACCAGTAACACCTAGCGTCAGTGCACAGTGAACCAGTAATATCTAGCTTCAGTGCACAGTGCCTAGTTGGGACACGTAGCTGTACAGTGGTAACACATAGCGTGTACAGCAGACCAGTACCAACGTGCACAGTGAAGCAGCAGTGCACAGTGAACCAGTAAACCTAGCTTCAGTGTACAGTGAACCAGTAACACATAGCTTCAGTGCACAGTAACTAGTAACACCTATAGCTTCCGTGCACAGTGAACCAGTAACACCTAGCGTTACTCAACCAACCTAGCTTGAACCAGTAACCAGTAACACCTAGCTTCAGTGCACAGTGAACCAGTAACACCTAGCTTCAGTGCACAGTGAACCAGTAACACCTAGCTTCCGTGCACAGTAAACCAGTAACACCTAGCATCAGTGTACAGTGAACCAGTAACACCTAGCTTCAGTGACCAGTAACACCTAGCTTCAGTGTACGTGAACAAGTAACACCTTGCTTCAGTGCACAGTGAACAAGTAACACTTAGCTTCGTGCACAGTGAACCAGTAACACCTAGCAGACTAGAGTGAACCAGTAACACTAGCTTCAGTGCACAGTGAACCAGTAACACCTAGCTTCAGTGCACATAACCAGTAACACCTAACATGGTCAGCGAAACGTCGACCTTTGTTGAGGATGTGAATAAAGAACTTTCTATTCAATCATTTAATAACCTGATGAAACTATTCACGGACTTGGTGTAAGAGTAAAGTAATGGACAGGGCGTTATAATGCGTTGCATTTAAGTCTATATTGTAAACGTACCTGCTCAGATTCGTACCTTTGAAATTTTCACATAATTTCAATCTCAGCGTTTAAAAATTAACATGAGTGTCATAGATAACTAACTTCAATCATTCGATATAGCAATACATCACTCCTGAATGCATCGGCATGGATTTTCGTCCCCCCACCCCTGAGAAAAATCGTCCATACTACGTAATCGTACATAGCAGCTGCCAAAACAATATAAGAAATGATACTTACACCCAAATCAATTGCAACGAAAAAAGAAGAGAATATGGAGAAATGAAAATGAAGAGTCTATTACTAGCCATATCATACTCTGTGTGTTTAGACATTTGTTCAAAATTCATGACCACTCAAATTTTATAATGAAGCCACCTTTTTTTGCCAAACTCTCAAAAGACAGTGATTTATTTACTTTGGCGGCAACGAAATCGGCCTCTCGGTCTGCTGTAAGCAATCAAAAGTACGTTTTGTTGCTTCCTTTGAACATTTATTATGCATTGTATATCTCAGTCTATATACACCGTATGAAAGAATTGCGAAGGGCCATGGAAGACCAAGTGTATGGAGGCGATGGAGAACTAAGTAAGTATAACTAAGTAAGTACGCAAAGTTATGTTAAACTCCGTGCTAACTGGTAAGAATCCCATAACATCAGCTACCTGTTATAGGATTACATGTTATAGAACATCCTAATTTTAACATTACGTTTTACGTTACTACAGCAACACCCAAACATTGCATGAGGAAATCGTAACGCATACCTGTCAAAAGTGATGATAGATGACTCCCAAATTCAAGGTCTTGATGGAAATGTACTGGCCATCAATGTCAGGGTGTAAAGACAGTGCCATCCGGTACTTTGTCATTCCAATACAATAGCAAAGTAGTGTCATGTCCACACGAGGCATTTTAAATTGCGTGACAAGTGAGGAATTGACAAAAGTGCACTTTGCTTGTCAAACTGTTTGTTATCTAAGTGCGTGTTATGAAACGTTTACCATTTACATCTACCACTTTGCAAAATTGTCCTTCAAAACAAAATATCATGGTTTCAATTATGTGTTTAATATTTCATGTGGCAAATGTGTAGCCATTTGCAAAATCACGCTTGCGATTTCGTTGCTCACATAGATGAATAACATGAATATGAAATATTTCACAATACAGCATTTGGGTATATGTCTATCTAATAGATTTATTTTATTCTTACATGGCTTCTGATTGTCATCGCCAAGTTTTCCTGTCTTCATATTCAGGCTTTTTCATCGTTTGTTATGTTTTTCAATCGCGTAAATAACTGTGCCCCATTCCATTATCTTGCAATCTCAGATAAAAGTGCATGCGTAATTTGTCAAATTGACTTAACATTTGCCATATAAAATATTCAATGTATGTAATGGAATGCACTTTATACAGGCCAATTCTAGACCAATTTCTATTGATCTCTCATAGGAAGCTTTTCTATGATGCGTTGAGGCAAAAAAACAATGACGAGAACTGTGGGACGATACGGAAGTGGCAACGGAAGAAAACAGAACTAAACATTTTAAAGTTAAACTTTTGGTCCAACTCAAAAAAATCTCTCACCTAGAGCTTTCGACCAGTCACTCTGGTCTTCCGCAGTAGACTGACCCAGTGAAGCTTGTCACGTCGCTTCTAAACATTGTTATCTCTTTTGTTCTATTTTGCAATGTGTCCGTCCTTTTCACTCCATATGTCACTGGGTGGAAAATTGATGATGTGTTTCCAACATTTTTATATTTCTTTGTGTCACATATGTATCATAATCTGTATTTTCTACATATTGGATTTTTTTGCTAATTTATGATCACATCATGTGTAAGTGGTAGCGTTGAAATAAGTCTCAGATACTTGAGTACGCTACCACTTTGTGTTGTACTATGTTATACTGTGTGAACAATAAAAAAAACATTGTTACATTGAATGCTTAAGTATGTAAACCACAATTGTACGCCAAAAAGCAGTTACTCAAGCACCTGGATATGATTTTGGAAACGGCCAGAAGTTTCAGGTAGAATCCACTACCTTTCGTCGGTGACACTAAGAGACTGCAGGAGAACTGCACGAACTATTGATTGATATGCAAATAAGTTAAGACGAATTTTTTGAAAGCCCAAAAGGAAACAGAAGTTAGACAAGGATAATGCAAATTAGTGAAAGAAGCTCCTGTTGTTTCAGAACAGGAGCTTAAGTGTTTTCTGTCCTTGGGGCCAGGAGCACCAAATCGCAAGTGCCTGGATGTCTAACCTTCACCGACGCAAACAACAATTTTATGTTGCTTAGTACAATTACGCTGCAGTTTTGGATAGTTTCGTCAGTAAACGTTTCAAAACACGCACTTAGTCTTAGACATTAAAATACTTGGACAGGGAAAGTGCTACAGTTTGAAGTTCAAGGTTAGCTTCTCACGCAATTCAAATTGCCCTGACGTGCGTTGAAAATTAATATTTTGTTATTGTGGACTGATAAAAGACCAAATGTTCCTGAGTTTAGTACAGTCTCGTATAAATCACACCCACACTGGTTCCACTCAATGGACGGCGTGCTGTGCAGAATGTGGTGACACGTTGGCTTACTTCCAAACAAGGTGTGACAATGTTTATTTTCTATCTATGGTTCTGTAACTTTTTGTTGCTTCAGTGCCACTGTTGATTCTTTAAATTACATGTATACTGATTTGTAAACGTTGTCCATTTCTAGTTCTACAATTGAAATTAGCAGCCTCCAGTTTAATTCCGGACTTATTCCATATCTCAGCAACTTTACATCTAGATGGGCTAATATTTAAAACTATAGGTAAAAATGATGTAAGAAATATGTATACGTAGCAGCCATCGAGGACTACTTGGGGAATAACCCATTTTTTCAGAATTTT